TATAATGTAATAGGTAGTGGTTATATTGTAAAGTGTCTATCCTTTTTATAAAAGTGTCCATACTTTTTTCACTGTGGAAAACATTAATTTAAGGTTATCTTTTGAGTGAGTTTTAAGATTTTAATTTAGTAATTATAGGCGTCTAATGATTTATTTTTTACGTTACGATATATATTTAATGTTGTTAAATTAAAAATTCTAAATAATATTTTATAAAATATCAAATAATCAAATAATTTTTTGTGCAAATGAAATTATTAAATTAATATTGTAGGTGGAAACCATGAAACACTATTAAAAAAAATTGAAACACAAATTACATAACTTTAAAAGAAGTATCGATCCTTTTTATAAAAAGTATGGACACTTTCAATATAATAGGTAAAAATATGATGTAATAGGTAGCGCTTATATAATGTAATAGGTATCGTTTATATAATGTAATAGGTAGTGGTTATATTGTAAAGTGTCTATCCTTTTTATAAAAGTGTCCATACTTTTTTCACCGTGGAAAACATTAATTTAAGGTTATCTTTTGAGTGAGTTTTAAGATTTTAATTTAGTAATTATAGGCGTCTAATGATTTATTTTTTACGTTACGATATATATTATTATTAAATTAAAAATTCTAAATAATATTTTATAAAATATCAAATAATCAAATAATTTTTTGTGCAAATGAAATTATTAAATTAATATTGTAGGTGGAAAACATGAAACACTATTCAAAAAATTGAAACATAAATTACATAACTTTAAAAGAAGTATCGATCCTTTTTATAAAAAGTATGGACACTTTCAACATATTATAATAAAATAGGTAAATTTGCAATATAACCGGTATAAATATACCGATTTACTTATAAATTAGGTAAATATAAGCACTACCTATTACATTATATAAGCGCTACCTAGTATGTTATTGTACTTTATAATATTTCCGGTTAAATAATATAACATAACCGGTATAAATTTTAACCGGTCACTTGTTTAACCTGTCACGCCGTATATTAGCCGTTTTTTAGGCGCCGCACCGCAGAACTACCCTGATAAAAAGATAAATCCTAATATCTTTTACAAAGGTTGGAAACATGCGGCAACAGAGAGGAAGCACCCCTCGGTCTCAGATTCTTCGAAATCAAAGCAATAGGCTCATTGCTATCCTTCTACACTTTCACCATTCTCATCCCAAGATCTTAAGCAACACGCAAACCTTATAGGATTCCCCATAATTCAACATCCAAAGTTAAGCAGCACCCAATTGGCTTGGAAAAACCTGAAACCCAATTCCCTGAATGATCTCTAATTACATCTCCATAAGTAGCTAAACCAGAGTCCAACCTTATAGAGCCATCAATGTTAAGTTTAAACCACTCAACTGATGGAGGTTCCCAGTGGTCAGTTCTATCAATTCTTGGGTGGTAAACAGCATTAGCACTCTCTTTGACATCAAAACTTGACTGGTCAAAGTTGACAGACAAGCTCTTTCATGCATAATACTCTTATAGGAATACCAAACTAGCTCAAAAATCATGCTGTTCCTACGCTTCCACATGCACCAAATCACATTTCTAAACCTTAGATCCCATTCGGCAGTCATAATAGGAAAATGACTGGAACCATTCAGGTTCATTTCAATCCATGAAACCATGTCGATTCGCATGAACTCGTCTAGGAGGTTTGGTTTAACCAGCCTTTCTCAAGTCGTCCGCGCTTCCACACAATCGCGAAAAATGTGAGTAGTCGATTCTATAGTCGCACCGCATATTGAACAGACAGGATCGGAAGCCATGTTACGTCTCACACGTTGCTCATTCGACAGCAATCTATCCTTACAAATGAGCCATAACATGGATTTTACCCTTGGAAGATCACGGTACTTCGTTAAGAGCCCCAAAATGGGTTGATCACTTTGAGTTGTGTTAATTGCCCGACTAAGATATGAGCTTCTTGAAGCAAACTTTCTATTCTTATCCTATTTCCATCAAGGGGTATCTACACCTCCATTTGGTGAAGGTGGTTGAACAACCATAATACGTAAGAGGATCAAAGACGGGAGAACAGAACGTAAAAGATTCCAATTCCAGTCCCCATTTATATCAACCATCTCTTTAACCTTCACATGATCATTCATCGCGGATTCGTAATTTGAACGAATACATCTAAGAGGACCAATATTAGCCAACCAAGGATCATTCCAAAATTTTACCCATGTACCATGTCTCAAAGTCCAAACCAGCCCATTACGAACTTCCTCTCACACAGTATTGACGCCTTTCCATAAGCGAGAACACCCACTCTGAGCAATAAAAACTGGGACAGTCTCATTCATCTTATACTTGGCGCGTAGCACCATAACCCAGAGTTGCTCCTTTGTGAAATAAGACGGAAATCGAGTTTCATTATGAAAGCATCGTTTTGAGTTTGTAGCCTCCTAATGTCAAGCTCATCGATTTTTAACGGCTGGTTTATTTAAATATTACAAGAGAATATCGATACTCCCCATTCTGGGTTGTTTTATTTTACAGAAAAATTAATACCCAATGATTAGAAATGACCACAAACACATTTCAACATATAAAAAAGTTTCGGACACTTAAAAGAATGTTACAACACATATCCAAGCAAGGAAGGAAGATCAAGGGAAAAACTTTTCATTATTTATTCTTTCTTTTTTTCTTATGTATAGTGTTTTTTGAACTTAATTTATAAACATCTATCTTTGAGAGGTGTTTCTTCTTTACATTTTTTATCTTTTGTAAAAGGGGAGCGGTTTTAGTTTAACCATTGAAAATTAAGAAATTTTGTAGAGATTACTCTTGAGCTTAAAAAAAGAAAGAATAAATGAGTGAATGTGTTAGGAATTCTTAGTGTGGAGCTAATATAGTATATGTATATTTCATTAAGAAAATTGAACGAATATAAATCATTGTGTTATATTTTCCTATCTTTTCTCCTCAATTCTCAAAATTTTAAAAGGTAAATTCACCCGTATTAATTATATTTTCGGTTGATTCATATAGGTTAAAATCCCAACAAATATTTGGTAACGTAAAGTGAAAAAACGTGAACACGAAATTCTATAGCATATTAGCATTTTAAGATCTATTAATTAGTTAAGTAATTAAAAATATTTATATAATCTTATTTTATATAAATTTAAGTTTTTTATATTTATTTTAAAAATATAATATTTTTATTTAATAAAAACATTCTATTAAACATGTAAAAGTGAGCAAATAGTTGGTTAAACCGAATAAATAATTTTTATTAAATTAAATGTGATTATAAAGAACATTAGTTATTTGACAAATAAACGTTCAATTATTTTTATTGCAGTTGTTTATGTTCGAACTTGAAATTTTTAAAAATAATAATTATTCTTTTAATCATTAAAATAATTTAATTCATGAAATAATAAGTATTTTAAATAATAATCTATATATATATATACATATATTTAATTAATTTAATCTAAATATAAAATAAAATATATTCTTTTTAAATAGTCTGAAGTGAAAAATAAAATATTCAAATATAAATTAATTTTATTAAATCATGTAGTTCTTTTAAAAGATAAAAACGTTTATTGCATTAATTAGTTATTTTAGCACAAAACCTTTGTTTAAACATGACCTTTGTTTAAACATGACCTTTGTCGTTTTCAAAATATCTTTAAAATCTTGATTACATATTTATTTTTGTTTTAGTTTTTAGAGTATTTTAATCTTTAAATATTTCATACAAAATGAAAAGATCTTTAAATATTTTTTAAAGTGTCGGAAGAATAATATAATTAACCTCCAAAATTTATCAAAATGGTTATTTTAGTACATATTCCTTTTTGGGATATTTTGTCTAAATGTTTCATTTAAAGATAAAAGGCCCCCAATACTTTATAGAATAATCAATTTGGTCCTTGATTTTTTCTGGAGCATTTTGACTCTCAAATTTTAATTTTAGGGTAAAAGGCCCCTATTTTAGAGTATTAATAATGTGTTAGCTAACAATTTTTATTCATAGACTTATTGTCTTAAAATGAAACATTGGGGTCAAAATGATTCAAAATGACTATTTTGGTAAACACTGAGGGTAATTTTAGTATTATAGTGTTTCATTTAAGGCAAACATACTCTTATTTTGTAGTGTTAACCGATTGTTGACTAATAATATTTTATTTATGGAGGAGATTTTTCTCCAAAATAAAATATTGAGGGTCAAAATACTCTAAAAATAAGAATTAAAGTGACTACTTAATTACCAATAGAGGTTGGTTCAAGTGGTAAGCAGATTGATATTGCTTAAGCAGATCTCGAGTTCGGGTCCTTGTGTATGCAAAATATTCATGTTGGGAAACTCACCCATAAGTTAAGTGTGTGATGTAGGTCAGTCTGAATTAATCAAAATTAAACCTAAAACCTGAAGGATAATAATAAAAATAACTATTTCATCAAATGATTGTATATTTTTTAATTATTATGTCTTTAAACTTTGATACAAGCTAATATAAATTTTATTACTAGTATATTTTATCTTGCTTGTCATTTAAAATTTGAAAATGATAAATACTCACATCAAGCACGACCTAGTAGATAAACTACATATTTACTACTTAAACTATCACTTTTGATTTGTTTTAGTATTTAAATTTTTAATTTTTTAAAATTATATTTAATGTTTAGTTTTTATTTCATTTTAGTACATGTCATTAAAAATTTCATGCATTTATTACCTAAACTATTACTTTTAATCTATTTTAATACATAAAATTTTAACTTTTTTAAACTTTAACGTTAATTTTAAATGGGTTAATAAAATGAAACAAAAACTAAACTTTTAATATAATTTTGTAAAAATTAAAAGTTTAAATACTAAAATGGATAAACAATGATAGTTTAAAAACTAAATACATAGTTTACCCTTGATTTTTTTACCACATTCTCGTTCATGTGTCAGATTAGGGATAATCATATTCAAGCAGCCAAACAAATCCGCTAAAATATCTACAGTATTTCTTGCCCACTTAAACCCCAACTGCAAATCCTTGGAAGCTTAAACCTCCCTCTTCTTCTCAGAAATGGCTCTCCTCCAAATCCACACACTTACACTCCCAATGCCTTCGCTTTCACCCGTTTTATCTTCATCAAAATCCCATTTCCAGAACCCAATCTTCTCCTCTGCAACGAACGCTAGACCTCTCTCACTTTCAACAAAACCCAGAAAGCTGTTTTGCAAACCCCCGCTTGGCAAATATGTTAGGGAAGATTATCTTGTGGTAATTTTTTTTCTTTATTTTCTGCTTTCATTTTCTGGGTTTGTTTTGTTTTTCCATTTCACTATCGGGTTGCTGTAGAAATTGGGGGGAAAAACAAAGTGCTTTTTGTGAATTTTGTTTTATTTAGGTTTTCCATTACTGGAAAGATTAAGTCAAACTGATGATTTTTTACTTGGAATTGTGCGTTAATTTATTCTGTAGCTTTTCTCTGTTGGGCTGCTGAAATTTTGAGGAAAAACCTCCTTATTTTCATTTCGCATTCATCCAATCCAATGATTCTAAATTAACAATTCAATGAGTTTAGTGTGTATATACATGGGTTAAGTATATAAATGATCTATTGACTATAGATATTGCTTTATTAAGTCCTATTATTCTTAAAAATTACAAAATGTTTCTCTCATTAGATAATTGTTTTATCGAGTCTCTTTACTATTCATAGTTACAAAATGATTAAATGGTTATTTATTATGTTTCAAACTCTTCTTTTTCATTAAAAAATTGATGAAGTCTGAAATGTATATTAACCTGTTGTGTGAGACATAATAAAATATGATTTTATAATCTCAAATAACTATTACATCTCAGTTAACATGTTAATGTCTAACTCAGATGATGGTTAATTTTTTAACACTAATAAGTTTAGAATATAATGAATAATCGAGTGACCATATGATAACTTTTAATAGTTGATGGACTCAATAAAGAAATTCTTTATAGTAAAGGGATCATTTTGAACTTTTAATAGTAAAAAGACTTAATAAAATATTATCTTATAGTCGATAGACTATTTATGTACTTTACCTTGTATATATATACTAAACTCGTGTATATACACGAATATTTTATGTTATATCATATATATATATATATATATATAGAAGAATTATATATATAGTAAGTTGTGTTCATTAACATACAATACTGAACCAAAAATAATCAGTAAAATATTATGGCGGAGTACAGTGAGTAATTTGAGAGGATGATGTATGTAACCGACATCTATGATATTGAAAGCGCATGTTCCTGTATCCATGTAAGAGCAGGGCATGAAGCAGATGAAGTTACTTCCGGTCCCCGCTCACACCATTGCCTTTCCTCCTAAGAAATAGAGCTAATTTATTTACTTGGAATCGAGGAGACATGGGAAGAAGGATGCTTATCTTTTTTTTTTTATCATTATTCATATGGTGATGGTGTTTTATGAACTTTTGAAATTTGTTGACTTGTTATTGGCATTTTGAGTGAGCAGAAAAAGTTGTCGGCTCAAGAAATCGAGGAGCTGGTAAAAGGGGACAGAACTGTACCCATAATTATTGATTTCTATGCAACAGGGTGTGGTCCTTGTATTTTAATGGCTCAAGAACTTGAAATGGTAAGCTTTGTTTACTCGGTTTCTGTTTAGCTGTTCTATTGGTAAATTTAAATGTTTCGTTTACTCGGTTTCTGCTTCGCTGTTCTATAAGTAAATTTAAGTGTTTCATTTACTCTGTTTCTGCTTTGCTGTTCTATTGATAAATTTAATGTTCTATTGATGTATGTAGACACACATGATTGAGTTTACATTTAGTTTCTCTTCTCCTCAAGATTAGGATTCATATAGAAGGTAATCTATCCCTATGTTTCTTTGACTTGTTTTCTCGAAGCACCATTGTTCGGCACATATTCAGACATGGGTATAGAGTTGTTACTCTTCAAAGAACCTCCATGTATCATGGAAAAACTTACTCGTGTTTGGTACTACCCGTATCCAATATTCACATCTGAGTCCGATTTACGTAAGTCTATTATCGTGAATATACAAGAAAATCCTAGATGTTTAAAATCGTTCTAAAAGGAATCTTCCGACTGCCTGGAATTTGTGTTGAGTTCATGTGTAGTCCAAAGTCCAAACTGATAGCATCTGTTGCTACCTGAAGAATAAAGTACCGGTGTGGTTTGTATCTTACCTTATCTCCTATTTCACCTGTGTTTACAGTTAAAAAGTATGAAATATTGATCCTAGTTTTACAATTTCGCTATACAAATTTACCGAAATAAGCCAACCGCAATCATACTAATGCAATAAAGTAGAAGTTGAAGCCAGGAGTTTCCTTTTTGGTAGAACTAAACGAGAACGATGTTTCTTGACATTTTTGAATCACTGAATATTCTGCTAAGTTGATGTTATCGGTTATCAGGAGTTTCGGTAAACATCTCCTGGTATATCATTCATTAACATAGCATCAAGTAATGCTTTTAGTTGGTCCTTTGAAATGGCACTGGAAAATTCTGCAGTTTTGCACTTAATGCTCAAGTAAGACGTTTTCTTGCAATTCGCAATTTGAACACAGTTTTGAAAGATAGGTTCTATATCTTCTAAATATTCCGGGATGCCGGTTTCCGGTGAACTGATGTAAATTAACCATGTTATGTGCTTGAACAAATTCTACAAATCGCCATTCAGGCATTTGGTTGCATTAAACTGGGGTTTGCCTTACATATTTGGTTGCTTAGCTATAAAATGTTTGCAGATTTAGTCAAGTGCTATCTTTTATTTTCATGTTCTTTTCTTTTTAATCACAGCTAGCTGTGGAGTATGAGAAAAATGCAATTATCGTCAAAGTCGATACCGATGACGAGTACGAATTTGCACACGATATGCAGGTAATTTGGGAGTAACATTTATTCCTCGAGTTCCATGGAGGGCATTTCATAATTTGGAGGTCTTCTACGGAAGCTGTTCTCAACCTAGTGTTGAGGGCAGCCTACTATCTTACTTCCCCTTGCCCCATTACATATGGGAACAAAGGACAACCATTATTTATTCCTCGAGTTCTCTCATTTCCTCTGTTTCTCTACTTGCGTTGCTCCAACCCTTCATTTTTCTTGAAGTACCCATGACTAACACATATTCGAACATGAGTTTCTGGACATATATATACCGGATTGATGCCAACAACAAATAATTCGAGCAACCATCGAATCTATTTAAACTAGCTACATTTCGTTTCATGTCGGTTTCACTAGTAATCTTCCAGTCTAATTAGGATAGTAGAAACTGAATGGAACTGGAAATTCTGCTGTACCAGGTCAGAGGGTTGCCTACTTTGTTCTTCATCAACCCTGATCTGAACAAAGAGGCAATCCGAACCGAAGGCCTCATTCCGATACAAATGATGCGCGATATACTAGACAACGAGATGTGAGAAGAAGACTGGTTATTTCACCGTGAAACGGTACTAAGGTACCAGACACTGCTTCAGAGCGTTGAATACGTATTTTTCGGGGCAGATCGGATGCGGAAGGCACATGATCTTGTAGCAAACTTGGCATGTGAATGACCTTTTCTTTGTGATGGGGCTGCTACAACAAACATTGAGACGACAAAGCATATGCTGAGACAAACGAGCAGACATTATTTAGTTAATTGGGTCTATTTTTAGGGACCATTCGGTTAGATAAATGTTTTATGTTTAAGCTCTTAACTTTATATTAATTAGAAAACATGTGGAATTCATACGTGGCGTGAGATGAATTGACTTTCAAAGTGACTTTAGTTGAAGCTCAAAATTGAAATTCCATTTGATTATGGGTAAATTATGCGTTTAGGATTTAAACTATCAATTTTGATATATTTTAATATCTAAACTTTTAATTTTTTTAAAATTATATCTAAAGTTTAGTTTTTATTTCATTTTAGCAATCTATCCTTAAAAACTTTAGTTTTTGTTTCATTCTAGTACTCCGTTCAAAAATTAACGTTAAGTTTTGAAAAAATTAAAAGTTGTGTACTAAAACGGACTAAAATTGATAGTTTCGGTACTAAACGCGTTAAGTATTTAACGGCATGACGTTAAAATGAAAATAAAACTAAACGTTAGATATAGGTTGAAAAAAGTGAAAGTTTAAGTACTAAAATAGATTAAAATTGATAATTTAGACACCAAATACGTAGTTTGCCCTTTGATTTTACGGCATGAGGTGTTCATGTTTTTGTAATTTAAGGTTGAACCATTTTGAAGTTTCAACCCTTCTCTTTTGACTTTTGGGTCCAACAAATGTTCACGCGGCTGCTATTTGCAACTTGAACGAATTAGTCGTGAATGGTGTGATTTTTATTTATCAAACTATAAAAACTTATTCGTTTATTAAACATGCTATATTTGACTAAAAATCTATTTAGTTCACTTATGTTAATTCATCATAATATAATTAGTTATTATTTGATTTGTTTTAATATAATTATCGGAGCATGTTTGGTTCAGATAATACAAAATTACTCTGATAATATAAGATTTTAAAATGTTATTATAAGATTTTGGAATGTTATTATATTGTTTGATTTAACAACATTATCTAATAACGGTGATATGAGATTTCTTATAGTTACCTTTATTTAAAAATACAGAAATTAATTGTTATTATATAGTTAAGAATACATACATTTTATATACCATGACAGATATAGAAATATTTTCAGGATAGACACGTGTGTATTAATAATAAAAAGAATTTGTATGAGGTAAGCACAAATAAAATTTCAGATGGATACATCTAATAAAATAAACAACTCACATAAAAGAACTCAGATTTCAGGATGGGCACATGCCCACCCTGAACAATACATGTGTCCACCTCTATCTATAGACACAAGAAAAAAAACAACATTCTCGCTTACTGTTAAGATCACTTGATAAATTCATACAGTCGCATACTTTTTTATTTCTTAAATAATGGTATATTATTATGAGAATGTTAAAGGTTAATTGGCGTAATGGTCTTTCTAACCTCTCTATTTTATCAATTTACTTATTTTCTATTTCTAATTTTTATTGAATAGAACATCATTAAACAAACATTATTTATTTATTTTATTTATCACGTTAATCCAAATTGTAAAAGAAAATTATTTTTCCATATTTTAAATATTACATTAATTTTTTATAATTTAATTATTTTTAAATTTTTTATTGAAATAACAAAAATAAAATAAAATAATCACTAGTAGTATAAATAGTTGACACCAATATTTTAATAGAATATAATGAATACCATATTAAACAATTTTTTTATAAAAAAACATTTTGGAATAACAAACATAAGGAAGAAATTTAGAAAATAAACAAAAAACACAAAAATGGAGGGAATATTTACAATTAATTTTACTTTCTATGCATTTTCCATCAACAAATTAATGTATAATTCGTATGTAAACAAAATAATGTAAATGTTAATGTAATACAAAAAAGGTAATAAAATACTCAACTACTCTTTGATTTTTATATTCGGCAGAGCCGCCAGCAGCCGGCCACTTTCCGATGAAAGACGCGTTTTTTTAACACTGGAAGTCATACGGTATGAGAAACCGCGTTGCCCACAACCTCCGCCGGCGAAAACGCCAAGAACATGAGAGCCGCCATGATCCCAACCGGGAAGAACATCAGAACCAACGGCGGAGGTGGTAACGGAGGCAATATCAATGGAAGAAACACCATGGACGCCGCCAATGCCACCAGCAACAATAATCCCCCGATTCCGAATCCGAAAGCACCGAAATACTTGGCCATCGTAGAATCGTTTCTTTCTTCTGATCTTGTTATCGACGTCAGTGCTCTGATCATATCTCGCCGCAAAAGGCGACGAAATGGATGCTTTTAGCGACGAAGTGAATACTATTAGCGACGAAACTCGTCTGAAATTTTCTCGAAAGAAAACTTAAATCTTAACAGATTCAAGGTTTGGGTTTTGGGGAGAATGATGAAACTAATGACGATGGGATGGATGGAGAGAGAATTTTGAGTGAGAATGGATGAAAGAGGCATTAGATTGTGTATATATAAATATATTAATAAACAAATGTGAAGTTTTATGATGGCTGCGTCCAATGTCAGCCGTTGATACATGCTTTGATGACGTCGGTTCTTTTGGACTAGAAAATCTGAGTCATGTAGTGGAAGGTCCCATGAATTTCATGCAATGTATATAATTATTATATTTACTTTATTAATTGTTTAATTTTTTTATTAATCTATTGCAAAGAAGTATTGTTCGAAAAATTATCAATGAAATTTATAATAAACAAAAACCTCTGATATTTTGGGAAGAGCATGAGTCAGCTTTTTGGTCAACTCGATTTGACCAATAAAATATGTACTCTCAACTCGAATTTATTCTTTAAAAAATATGACTCGACCCGATGCCAAATTAAAAAATAAAACCTAAATCAATAGAGTCGGGCTGGAACGCGTCGAATTCGAGTTTAATGTCCATCTCTACTAATATTCGATGCGCTCAAATCTATAAACCCTAAGAATAACAATCATTCATTTTAACTACTGAAATAATTTAGTTCATATTATTAATTGTTTGATTAAAATTAAATATTTTTAAAAACTTTATACCTAATAAGATTCGAACTTAAGATATTAATTTTTCAAAGTCTTGATTGAATCGAAAATCTCTTTTGCTTCATGAACCAAGTGACTTTTGTGGTAAAGAAATTGTTATTATTTTTTGACGACTCGAGTTTGAATACCATAGATACTAGGGATGTGAGCCTTCAATGTCAAAAGTGATGTGAGTCTTTAATGTCAAAATGTTTTAAAATTATCTTTAAATAGATATTGTGTTATATTTATCCAAAATTAATAAAAAGATTCTCTTTTGCTAAACTTTACCATCTTTCATATATGATATTATTAACTTATTAAATAGAAGGGTAAACTGCATATTTAGTGCTTCAGCTATCATTTTTTCTATTTTGGTCACCTAATTATTTTTTGTTTAAAAATCATATGTATCTAATGTTACATTTTTATTTTATTTTGGTCACTTACTATTAAAAAGTTAACAATGACGTCGATGTGTCACCATAAGATAATGCCACATCATCATTGAAAAATTATAAAATGTCACGTCAATAGTTCTGTTAATTTTTTAAAGGCTAGTGATCGAAATATAACCAAAACGTAACGTTAGGCATACTTTTGAGAGAGAAAAAAAATAATAATTGGGTGACCAAAATGGAATAAAAGTGATAGTTAGGGTATTAAACATTTAGTTTATCCTAAATAGAATTGACAAATTTAATTTAGGCATAATATAAAAAAAGACCCATAATATTTGATTAAATAGTTACTTTGGTCTCTATTCTTTTTTTAAAGTATTTTGGCTACAATGTTTCATTTGAGGCAAAAAGACCCCTTAGGATCGAAAACCATTAATTAACAAATGGTTGGTCCAAAATAAAGGCATTTTTTACCCTAAAATGAAATGTTGAGGGTCAAAATGTCCAAAGATAAATATTTGAGGCTAAATTTGACATTATACCTTATATTTTATCGATTAATCCAATTAGATAAAACACTAATTTTTTTCAAATAATATACAATATTTGAATCTTAACATTATAAACGATGTCTTCTCTATATGTACGTTTCTCTGTATTTTTTAACAATATTTGAATATATTATCTAATAAAAATGTGAATATATATATATATATATATATATATATATATATATATATATATATGAGTTGAGTTAGGTCAGTCAGATGCGAGTTTTCACTTCAAAAAATGAGTGGATTTTAAATCGAATAAAATCCTCTTAAATTAAACCTTGTTGGGTGCATGTTAAAAATTGTAATATTTTAATTTTTAGATCAAATTCGGATGGATTAAAATTTTGACCCACTCAATCAATGACAATTGCAAATATTAATTATAAAACCTTTATTTGAGTTGATGTCGTAAATTGATTGAGTGCCAATTCAATTGAGAGATGATTCTAACTTTTTTTACAAACAATAATTAATATTATTATAAATACATCTTATATTTTTTTCATATTATATATATATATATATATATATATATATATATATATCTTTAAATAAAAAAGTTAATAATCAATACTTTTAACATCAAACACAAAATAATTAAGTCATTCATCCACACTTATAATCATTTGTTAATTAAATTTTAAATATTTTTATCCAAAACATTTTCTTTAATTTGCATCATAGACATGATTTTAATAATTAAATTAGTGCACTATTAGCTTTAAACACCAAATTTAATTAACTCTTTGAGGTCAATAAAAGTGGATTCACAAATCAAACCCAATCAAATTGAGTAGAAATGGGCAATTGCCAAGAAAGTGAAAACACAATAAAAATGTGGAAAATCCCAATAATTTTGAGCTTTTGTTTCTTATAACACGTGAAAGATGTTGACAAAATTGGATCAACCAACTACGATCGAATCCACCTTATGGAAGTAGAAAATCAATATTCAATGTATTGATTCTTACAATTTGGTGTTGTTTTCTGGAAAATTATAGCTGCCATGCGTTTCCCTGGTCAATTTAACAGTCTAAAACGACATTTACCACTTCATTTAGATAATCATGTGTTAAAATTCTTTGAAATATTTATTAACGGGTCAGTTCAAGTGGTAAGCAGCTTAATATTGTTTAAGCA